TGGTGCCCTTCCAGAACTGGGTTGTAACTCATCTTGTCTGTTAAGACAATGAAACGTTAGCTCCTTTATTTTTCCCTGCTTGTCTTTTGATGAGCAGTGATCCACTTGATAGCTACCATCCAGTGCCAATATTGCTAATGGCAAAGCTGACCATCGTTTCTCGGATGTAACCCACCACTCAAATCAGGATCTTCACAGCGTCTCTTTGTACCTCATTAATAACCATGCTGTCCCTATTCTGTTTTTCTGTAGTAGTGTCAGTTTCTGAGGTTTTTATTTGCTTTTCCAGGTAACTCTCAGTTATGGGGACCCCGAGAACAAACACAATGTTGTGAGTGTGGGAGGAGTGTTTGGACTTCAGCAAGACCCAACCAGGTAAGTGTCCACTCCAAACCAAGATCTCCCTGTCTTGTTTATGTTTTTCAACTGCAAGATGATCAAACTCACTTACAGGATTATTTTCTCATGCCAGATCTTATCACAGTTATAGGTGGGTAGAGCCACCTCCCCTGCTGTGGTAGGCTGCTGCACATTCAATACTTAGCATGTTCCTGGTCTGGAGAATTTCAGTCTCACTTTTATTTTACTTTTTTTTGTTTTCCTTCACAGATTTAAATCTGTCCACTGCCTTCTCTATCCTGACACTATTTGGTGCCCCAATAAGAAGATGTCATAACTTTTGACCAGTCTTTGACACCTTTATCCTACCTACTTTGCATAAAGCAAGAGTTGTGATGGGCTTTTTTTTTTTCTTCTGGGACACAAACAGACATATCTACAAAAGGAGGTCGACTTTGTACAGAAGCAAGACTGACTGGGTAATTATGGCAAGAAGGCATTTATTCAGCTGCAGCCTGGGACATTCCAGAGAAGAAAATCTTCTATTTCTTGTTCTTTGGTCCAGTGGCTCTTCATATGATGGCTGCAGCCATAGCTGTACAAGTCACTTTATGCTTTCATCTGATGTCACATGAGCCCTATCATGTGAATCTGTGCTTGGATACATCCTAGCAAATGCAGTACTTAGAATGATAGCATTCTTACTGCTGTTAGCAGCTTTCAGAGGCCGCTGTCTTGAAGCTGGAATGTTTAAGCAGACTGCAGTCCCCATGATGGTGGGGGGATGAAGTTTTGCTTGTCTTCTTTGTGAACAGGACTTAAGAACTTCTGCGGCATGCCATGTTATACCTCCTCCACCTGTGAGCTGAAACACGGTCTGTTTGTAAGCACCAGAAGTCCAGGAATTGCTAGGGTAGACAAGGGTGAAAGCCTTTGTCATGGGAAAAGCCCTGTGTAAGGGTAAACTGACTCAGGACTGCATGAGAGTTGCTTACAGTGCACGTTCTTCCCAGCAGTCTTTGTGTACCTCCCATGGAGGTGATTGTCAGACTTGGCACTCTTACCACTGAATGGCAGTGGCTGTTGAAGATGGTGGTGGTCTGCTAGGTCCAAGACTATTCCCTTGGTATTTGATACTGAAGAAGTATTTGCCAGGCTAGTTGGTAACTGTTTCTCCTCCTTTGCCCTCAGCAGGTTAGGTGAGCTAGAGCACGCCCATCAGCTGATGAAACACCCTGTTTTTGAAGTATCCTTTACTGCCTGTGAGGGAGGAGGAATGCTAGATAGCTGTAGCGCCGAGAAAGTTTTTGATGATATCATTTGAGGCCTTTTAATGGTGTGTTTGTGGTTACCCCACTTCAGCTTCTTGAGGTAACCTTTTGAGACCAGTGTTTATTTTTACTCTACATCTTAATGTTTCACTACGTAATTCTGGCACTTGGTAAAAGGAAACTGTATGCTGATAGAAAAGCAAGAGTCCAATGCTGTAGCAATATCACCTGCTGCTGCGCTGTAAATCAAATAGGCTTAGTTTTGAAAGTGGAAGAATTGAAACTTCATATGTTTAGTTTTGTTGCTCCCAACTTTGCCTTTGCGCAATCTATACCTGACGTGAAGAACAGCATACAAATGATTTTGTAAAACCACTGATTACTTTCAGACTCTTCAGAAAATACTTGCAGGCTTAGTGCTAGAGGCTGAATTAAGTGGAGAATAATAGCATGATGTTGTATAACCTGAAACTATGACTAATGGCTAGAATTCGGACCCAGCAAGTTTCAGATTTCTATCAGCTGTGCTGAGCTGTGCATTTCAGCTAGTTGCTTAACTTCTTCCCATTTGAGAAGTGGTATCATGTAGGCAAACACCTGCAGTGTATTCAAGTATGAAATGTAGTGTAGGTGTCAGCCTCCTGTAATATAATATTCTCTGCTTTCTGTTTTTAAAGCAAACCTTTCAAGAACTGGATACATTGTCCTCTTTGCATGATTTTATTTAATTTTACAGAGGAGCCAACAAGCTGACTGCTTGCTACAGTCCAGCAGCTTGTTCCTAATTTTCTTTATCTGCTAAGGCAATGCTTTGACCATGAGGCACAGGAATAAGAGTGCTGCAGGCAATGGGATCAGAGTCCAGCTAGCACAGTGGCTGTTTCAAAACAGGAACATCTGTAACACTGACAGCCTCTCACAGAGCATGGAGGACTTGTGGCAGGGTGGGTTGTGGGATGTTCTACCTCTCCATTAGGTGTTCTGCTCACTAGAACTGGGATGTCCTGTGGTTCGATGATATGTCATTAATAGCTCTGGAGATTACTGCTATCTATATAAACACTTTTTAAAAAACATTTGGTGGGTTCTTGTTTTCAACCTCCTCGTAGCAAAAAGTTGTGAAGCTGCATAAGCACTTGGTGAGATTTTTTTCATCCTTAGTGATCTCTGAATTCTGCTGGAGCTTTTCTTCCTCTGCTACTAAGAGCAGCCTCCTGTCAGATACTACAGACAGCACAAGCTGGGTAGTGATTATGTGGCAAACTGCAGTTCAGAAATGACAGCACTTCATACTGATGGTAGCAAAACTGAGTACAAGTCCCATACTGCAGTTGCTTCCCATCCTAAATGCAGTTTGCTGCCTCTTTGTCATGCCTAATGCTGGCAGGGTGCTTATCGAGCTGAAAAAGGACCACATTCTTCTGTGTGACAATGCAGGATTGTTTGTGTTCAAGATTCTTGTAATGTTTCTCTTGTTCACAATGCAGTAGGCTCTGTAGATATACTGGGATGCAGCTTCTTAAACTACTGTCTCATACATAAAATGATTCCATGAAGTAAATATTTAAGGATGTTGAAAGGTGTGTTTTGTCTTGTCCTTTAATGCATTCTCTTCACCAAAAATGAACCATTAAACCCTGTAATCTAGAAAACTAGTCTCCTGTCAGCCTTGTGCTGCCATAGGGACAAAAAGCATATGGGAATTAGATGCCTTGGATGTGCAGAGGCAGAAATATGGATGAGAAGAATCCTTGCAGCTAATTATTTAAGTATTTTAACCAGCTCTATGTCAGAACTTTCCCATTTTGTCTCTGTCACAGCAGCTCTTAAGCATCATTGGGAAGCAATGCATCAAAGGGGTATTACGAGCAGAGCTCTGCTTCTAGCAGTAGAGCATGTTAATTGGATTTATAATTGCCTGTGCTGCTCTGTTATATGATGTCAGCTCTGCAAAGCAGGAGGCAGTTGGAGCTGCCATGCTCACTACCACTGGAAGTAAGCTGTGGTGTGGGAGCTTAACGCCTTAACGAGTTCTGGACTGCTTTTCTGTTGTACCTTGCAGGACGTGGAGCTGTTGGAGTGGGCCCAGAGGAGGGCTACTAAGATCAGAGGGCTGGAGCACCTCTCCTGTGAATAAAGATTGAGGGAACTGGGCTTGTTTAGCTTGGAGAAGGCTGAGGGGAAACTTATTGTGGTCTTCCAGTATGTAAAGGAAGCTTACAGCAGGAGAGAGACTGACTTTTTACGTAGCCTGATAGGAATATGACAAGGGGAAATGGCCTTAAAGTAAAAGAGAGGAGATTTAGGTCAGATGTTAACACTGGTGAGGCACTGGCCCAGGCTGCCCAGAGCAGTTGTAGATGCCCCATCCCTGGAGGTATTCAAGGCCAGGTCAGGCACGTCCCTTGGCACAGGGCTGGAACTACGTGTCCTATGCTGGCCTTAGGCAAGAGGGTTCTGTGCAGTTACACATGGTTTTTTTAGGCACTGACTGTTAGACAAGGGCAGCCCACAGCTTTTACCAGCAGCTCTGAGCGATGGGGCACAGCTTTTCCTCTCAGCTTTATTCTGAGTTCTCTCACTGTAGTGCTTTACAAAATCCCGGAAACACCAAGGCTGGAAAAGACCTACAGGATCACCTGGCCCAACCATCCACCTGTTGCCAGTAATTCTCACCAAACCACGTCCCTCAACACCAAATCCAGATGTTCCTTGAACACCTCCAAGGTCGGTGACTCCACCACCTCCCTGTGCAGCCCATTGCACTGCCTGACCACTCTTTCAGAGAAGCAGTATTTCCTAACGTCCGGCCTGAATCTCCCCTGGTGCAGCTTGAAGCCATTCCCTCTGGTTCTATCACTGTTACACGAGAGAAGAGGCCGACCCCCAGCTCAACACAACCTCCCTTCAGGTGGCTACAGAGAGCAATGAGGTCTCCCTGAGCTCCTCTTCTCCGCACTGAACAATCCCAGCTCCTTCAGTCGCTCCTCATAAGATTTGAGCTCCAGACCCCTCACCAGCCTTGTCGCCCTTCTTTGAACCTGCTCAATGTCTTTCTTGCAGCGAGGGGCCCCAAACTGGACACGGTACTGGAGGTGCGGCCTCACCAGAGCCGAGTACGGGAGGACAATCACTGCCCTGTTCCTGCTGGCAGCACCGTTCCTGATGCAAGCCAGGCTGCCATTGGCCTTCTTGGCCACCCGGGCACAGCGCTGGCTCGCGTTCAGCCGAGAAGAAGAATTCTTTAGGGAGAACCAGAGCCGAGAAAGCTCAGCTCTGCGCCGTGCCCTCTCCAGGCCGGCAGCGGCCGTCGCACCGCCGGTTCTCCGAGGGCGGCGCGGTCCCCGCGCAGCCGCCCGGCCCGGCCCCGCCTCCCGGCCCCAACACCGCCCGCGTCCCGGCGCCGCGGTTCTGCCCGCAGCATGGAGCCGGACTCGAGCTTCCGCGGCCGCCGCGCCCTGGTCACCGGGGCCGGCAAAGGTGGGCGGGGGTCGGCAGAGCGGGCGGGGGCGAGAGCGGGGCCGGGGCTGACGGCGTCTCCCCGCAGGGATCGGACGCGCCGTGGCCTTAGCGCTGTGCAAAGCCGGAGCGCGAGTAACCGCGCTGAGCCGCACCGCGGCGGACCTGGAGAGCCTCGCCCGAGAGGTAGGGACGGCCCCGGGAGTCCCCCCGCGTCCCCAGACCGCACGGCGGGGCGCCGCTGAACCGGGCTTCCACCGCAGTGCCCCGGGATCGAACCGCTGTGCGTGGATTTGGCCGACTGGGACGCCACGGAGGCGGCGGTGAGCGCGGCGGGGCCCTTCGAGCTGCTGGTAAACAACGCGGCCGTGGCGATGCTGCAGCCCTTCCTGCAGGTGACACGGGAGGCCGTGGAGCGGTGAGTGCCTCCTCGTCTTTGTAAACATCAAGAGAGACTGAAGCAAAGTGCTGAGGCACAGCGAGAACGTTGCAGCATCACCTCCCTGCAGCCCAGAGCTTCCAGTTCTGTCCCACTGCTAAAGTGAGACAGCTGCTGCGAAGGCAGTTTAGAAAGAGAAGATAAAGCAGCTACGGGACTGTGAAATGGTCATGGTGAAAAATTAAATCCGTTTGCTTCAATTATATATTTCCTAATGTGCCACCGTTTAGGATCCAGGTTCTGGTGGGTCTGATATCTTCTAAGACGGGTCATAATTTGTCCCTGTGTTAGAAGTCAGATACGTGAGGCTATGATAAAGGATTCGTTTGGAGCAGACCAGAAGGCATGTGATCTACTTAGATCATTCTGCAGTGCTAGCTGGTGAAAACCTCACCAAGGAAGAACTATGTTTCAAAAAAAGGCTGTTTCTACCTCTCTTGCAGCAAATTTACTGTTTCAAAGCCTCATGAAGGCTGGATTGCATAAGAGGAGCCACGGGCTGAGACCCAGGGATCACTGTGTAAAGTTTAACAGAAGTACTGTGTGAGTCTGCCAAAGAACAGAGTCCTGCTACAAGAGGGAGGATGCATGATTGCACCTTCCCCCCCTGCACAGCAGGGGCCACCACCCAGCTTGCTTCTGCTGAATGAACACATGGTTAACCATTGCTGCTATAGCCCATCAGCCTGGCATTTCTATCTGTGTTTAAATATCACCAGTGCTCCCAAAGCACCAGCAGGGTTTGTCCTCTGCTGCCTCTCAGAACAATTCCTCTCTGGCCTGGCCTGCAAACGCTGTGTAACTTTTAAATCTCATTTATTTGTAGGTCTTTCGGTGTCAATTTCCAGGCCGTGCTCCACGTTTCTCAGGTGAGGATGAATTGTCACTGCAGGTGTCTCCTCTAGCAGCAACAACTAAGTTGTTCTACACAGCAGAGACGTGTCCTGGCAGGGAGGCAGCTATGGGGACCAGAGTCCAAAATCAATCCAACATTTCTGTGTGTACAGGTCAGAGAAAAGAGTGAAGGTCTTGTCTCTTACAATGGGGAGGCACTGAGGACGTCCTGTGGCTGTTTTTGCTTTTTGCCTGCCACAAGAAGATTCCTACCAAATGGAACCACGCTCTTTCCTGTCCAGATTCTGACATCCTGTTATTTTTTTTCCCCTCCTCAGATCGTTGCTCGGCAGATGATTGCACAGGGGCTACCAGGTGCCATTGTGAATGTCTCTAGCCAGGCATCTCAGCGTGTCCTGAGGGATCATGCTGTTTATTGTAAGTGCCCCTTTCATTTTTGACTAGCTGAAGACCCACAGCCACAAAGGTTCTGGCTGCCAGTTCCAGACAAAGTACCTCTCCATGATCCAGACCGAGTGCTGTGCACTTAAATGCTTCCCATTCTTCCTTCCTCTTTTAAGGTTCTACCAAAAGTGCTTTGGATATGCTGAGTAAGGTAATGGCAATGGAACTGGGACCCCACAAGGTAAGATTTCTTCTGAAAGAGAAGCATGAAAGGCATTTTGTCTCAGAGCAGTTTGGTACACGGTGTGTTGCTCTTGGTCTCAGATAAGGGTGAACACTGTGAATCCCACAGTAGTTATGACCGACATGGGAAGAATTAACTGGAGTGATCCTCAGAAATCTGCTGCCATGATTAACCGGATTCCACTAGGAAAGTTTGCAGGTCAGTCTAGATCTGTTGCCAGGCTGAGCTCCTTCTAATATCCAATCTTTCCTCCTAACTGACATCACAGCCACAGCTACCCTGCCTTTTTTTGTGAGCAAAGTCATAACCCTGCTGAGTGGCTGTGGCTGAATTCCCAAAGCATCTGATGACAGGGCACACTTACCTCCCCTGTTCTAGAGCCCTGTCATCTCTGGATAAGCAGAATGAACTTCCTCTATTATTCATGAATATGACTTGCAGGGAGCACTAGTTGTTGCTGTGAATTAAGTGTCTATCATTTGATCACAGTGATGATTTTTGGATGTCCTGCTCTCAGCCACACTGTCCTGTATGTCACACCAAGCACAGCCCAGGGGGGCAGAGAGATTTCCCTACTCCAATTACACGTAGAGGCCAAAGACACATTGTTTGGGATGCTTGTTTTTCTGGTACAGATTGAGGGTGCATTGGATGTCCTCTGTTTGATTCCAGAGGTGGATGATGTGGTGAACAGCATTCTTTTCCTGCTCAGTGACAAGAGTGCTATGACAACTGGCAGCTCACTGATGGTTGATGGGGGATTTCTCGTCTCCTAAGATGACATCTGCATTTCATATCTTGCCTAACTTTCATACTAGTGTTGCATAGAATCTAAAAGGAATAGTAAACAGTGACAAAGTCCCAATGTTGCTGGACAAGAGGGGCAGCAGAGCTAGAATCTGTTTGAGAATTGAGGCAGAAAGTTACCTTGAGAAGGCTGCTATATAATAAAGATCACATATGCTGTCATGGAGAATGTTTATTGCACCAAATAAGGTTTTATCTTATCACTCTACATGATGATTAGAAATTGGATCTGTCTTTCTTCCAACCCTATTCCCCCCTACAAACACAACCCTTCAGAAGCTTTCCCTGTTCCATCCAAACCCATAAAGCCTGCCTGCATTTTCCTTGGGAAGGGAAAGAAGAAGTTAGCAGACACCTCATTGCTTCCTTTGCTCTCTTTAGTAGAAAAAAACAAAACAGAGGCAACAACCTCAGCCCTGCTCTGCAGAGACTGGATTGTGGGGGGAGGCCCTGCTAAAGACTGATGGGGGGGAGCAGCACCATGCTGTCCTAGGGTGTGCACACAAAAAGGCAAATGCATTGATTGCACAAGGCTGTTTCACTCACTGAGTTTGGCTAGTATCCAATTAAGCACCTAATGATTAGTTCTTCAGCTTCACATTTCGTTTACTTTGACCCCTTTCTGGGGCTGGTTATGATTCCTTCAACAGTCTCAGGCACGTATCTGATAGAGCACCAATTTGTTAACTGTTAGCCACAGGAGGCTGGGCAAGGAGACCCTTCTACTCTTCCAGCTGCTCTCGTCATTCACCACCACTTACATCAGCTTCCTTCCCACTCCCACAAGGATCTTCAGCACGTGTCACACCGCAGATGAAACACAGGTGTTTCCAGCACAGGATGGGTTTCTCAGCCCTTTCAGCTTGGAGTTCAGGAGAGCCAAAACAGCCTGTTGCCCCAAGGAGCTATCTTGCCTTCCCCATTGTACTTTCCTGAGGGCTGTACAGCCCCCAGCTAGTCTCCTGCCCCCACTGCCCCTTCACATCAACACTGACGTTAAATCAAAGAGACATTTAAAAAACACTGACTTCGTACATGATGAAGGGCCCTACACATCCCAGCCCCCTCCAGAAACACCCAGCTAATACGCAATCTGTCGGAGGACAACAGCATGCTGAGCCAGCACCTAGGCCACAGCCCTCAGAACATGGTGCACTTTTTGCCAGGCTTCTTCACGGGCGGCGGGCAGAGCACAGCCCGGATGGCTTCATCAAACACCGTCTTCAAGCCCCGCTGTGTCAGGGCAGAGCACTCAAGGTACTTTACCGAGCCTAGGGGAAAGAGAGCTCCAGCTCAAGCACTCCAGTCCTACCAGGAGGCAGCGTCCCTCACCCCTCCGAAACAAAAGGCTCAGCGCCACGAAGACGTCCCAGCACATCACTCACCAATCTCCCGAGCCATGGCCAAACCCTGGGGGTAGGTGATGGGAGCCAGCTTCTTATCACGTAACCTTTCAATGGTGTCCTTATCATCCCTTAAGTCCAGCTTGGTGCCCACCAAGATGATAGGTGTATTTGGGCAGTGGTGTCGGACCTCAGGGTACCACTGAAACAGAGAAGCGCGATGAGAGAAGTAGCCATGGCAGCAGGCACTTCCACGAGGCTGCATTTACTACTAAGAACAAGATTTTTACTAATATTTGACAGGGTGTAAACATCTGAACAGGATTCTTCTACCTAGAATTCTGGGTATGCTCTGCAGAAAGAGGCTGGTGCAGATGCAACAAGTCTCTGAAACATGGAATCGTGACAGATGACACCAGCCAGCTCTGCACGCAGTACTTCGACTCCATTTTAGTTTCTAGGACATCCCTCATCTTCTTTAACACAGATTTGAAGAGGCAAAAACTTAGCCAAAGAAGTCATGAATAAAGAGTAGGTCCCTCTTAAAACCAAGCAACTATTACTTTTGTTTCTCAGAACACAACTGCTAGAAATGTGGGGTTTGTAGGTGCCACAGGGTTGGCTCAGGCAGTGAACTGCACTGGTTCCTACCTTCCACCAAGATGGGGAATACAATACCTTGGCTCTGACATTCTCAAAGGAGGCTGGACTCACAAGGGAGAAGCAGATCAAGAAAACATCCTGTGGGGAAAACAAGAGGATTAATTGTGTAGAAAGGAAAGGCTAGAGATAATGGAAGGAGGGTGAGAAAGGGAGCCTCACCAAAAAAAAAACAAACACCAACAACAACAAGGACTGTTGGCTGTAAGAAGCCCTTCCCTGTGAAAGTTGCTAAACTAATTCAGAGAGAGAAGGAATGGACTTTGGGTGTGTGACCTCATTTTAATTACTAATTACTTTAATTACATTTTAAATACTAGACTCAACCTGTTAAGAGCCTGTGACCATAAATACCTTAACAGTGCTACAGTCTTCATCCCTGGTGGTGGGGGCCACATAGCAATCACTACAGCCAGGAAAGCAAAACTAGCAAAGCCCAATAGTGAGCTGTGGCACCAAAGGAGAGTGAGAATATAAAACACAGTTCAGCTTTACAGCAGTTCCACACCATTCTATGCACCCAAGCTGACTTACAACATGCATAACTGTTCAAACACCACTGCAAAGTAGGAACTAGAACGTGACAGCCTCATAGTAGAGCAGTCATAAGCCAGTCCAAGCCCAGCACTCACCGTCTGTGGATAGGAAAGAGGCCGCAGTCGGTCATAATCCTCCTGTCCTGCTGTATCCCAGAGGCCGAGATTCACTGGCTTTCCATCTACCATGACATTGGCAGAATAGTTATCAAACCTGCCAAAAAAGAATCCCCATCAGTGACAGATTCTGATCTACATGTTACATTACATGAGATCCAAGGGGCAGCGAATCAGTTGTGCAATGCAGATCCCACGGGGGTACTCTCCTCTCATACACAGCCATACTCCACATACAGAGTTCACAGCCTCCTCACCCACAAAACCAACTGTCACACACACACACACACACACACACATAGGGAAGAGCAGCTGATGCACATTACTCACACAGTGGGGATGTACTCTCCAGGAAAGGCATTCGTGGTGTAACTGATCAGCAAGCAGGTCTTCCCTACAGCTCTGCAGAGGATGAGAGTGACAACTGTAAAGGAGGGTAGAGCACTGGAAAGCACTGGGGCAGGGAAATTTACCCTTTCCCACCCAAAAAAAGTGAGGTTAGGTGAAAAGCTTACATGAGGAAAAGATCTGTAGCAGGCTAAAATTTTCCATCAGGGACCAGGCCTGAACTCACCCCACCTTAGCATGCATCTGATACTGCTCTCTTCTACCCCTTTTCTCCACTCCTTTGGCCTCAGCAGAACACCAGGCAAAATGTATTTGTTCCAAAACCAAGAGGGGAAATAAATTAGGGTTACGTCCTGGATGTGCTCTGCCTCAACATATCCATAATGATCTAGCAAAATGGGCAAACAGCAGGTGAGAAAACGTGGAACAGCACACAAGTAGTTATTCAGGCTCTTCAGACATAGGAACTGAATGTCAATATATACAAAGGATGAAAAAAATAAGTATCCATAAACAAAAACAAACTTCCAAGTGACTACTGACAGTTTGGAAAGAGATTCTGGCACCAAGGTAGATCACTAAAACATCAGCTCAGAGCTTTGGCAAAGGCAGGTGAGATTGGTCAACTCAGGGGCAGCAGCTGGCTGACAATTGTGTCAGGATATGAAGGGCAGTTAGCCCTGCAGGGGAAGGGAGAAGCTTAGTTCTAAGAACAGAGAAGTAACAGGAGCAAAACCAACTTCTTTATTACTGTAAAAGTTGTGAGCTGTAGAGAACCTTCAAAGGAAAACAATATTGAGTGCCAGTAACAGCTGTTAGAGTTTGAGCCTGAACACAGTTATACACAACCTGATTCTCAGAAAAGTGACGTAGCAGACTTCAGGATGAGAGACCACTCATGAGAGACCCTGTGAGAGTGCTGCACAGGGACTACACAGCCAGAACCACTGCACCAACCCATCCTGCTTCTCCCTTGCACTGCATCCCCTGCCCAGACCAGGGAGGTTGCACCAGGAGCCGCTGTGCTCCACTACACTCTCATGTCCAACTTAGATCCCAATTCAGCACCTTGGGAAAACCATGCAATTCATAACATACGTACATATCTGTGACTTAAGTGCTTGGGTACCCAAGTTTATTCAGCCAAGTTCATTCAAAGCTCACCACCAACCTGCAGACCTGGAGCCCACTTCCAGCACACCCCACTCACAGCTGTTGCTGTCTTCTTTATAACAAGGCTGTGCTACATTGGACAAGTCTCCTATTGGCCTCTTTAGGCCCTCCAGCTAGAAACTGGAAGACCTCACTCCAAACACATACTTGTGGGCGCTGTATGCACAGGCAGGTGGAAGGACCAGCTGCTCCCTAAGACCATTCACAATGACTTCTCTGCATTTTTGTCCTGTGCTTGCTGTAGCGATCGGAAATGCAAACAGAGCATTGGGAATAACAAGGAGAAATACATAAGACAAGCTAGGAAAAGTTAGGAAGCACCAGAAGTCCACAGCACGCCCGTATTGTGAATACAGCTGCGTTCTCAGCCAAAAGCACCAGAAGGAGCCCAGAGAACAGAGCGGGAAGGACGTCAGGCCGTGCGGTGAAGCGAGAAGCAGCGACGCGTTTCATTTTGGAACGCAAACAACAAAAGGAGACGTAAGAAAAACCTGCGAGCATCGAGACGGGGCGGGGGAGAGGCTGCGCAGCGACGGGGACCGAACAGCGATACGACGCGAGGCGGGCTTTAAACCCAGGGGAACGCGCCGGCCGGCTCGGCGGCGCGCCGACAGATGCGAACGAAGCCCCGAGCCGACGGACGGCAGCCGCAGGCGGGCCCCGGGCTCCCTTCCACGGGCGCAGCTCCGGGAACGGCCCCGCGCATCCCTCCCGGCGGCCCCACGGGATGGCAGCCCGGCCTCACGGCTCCGCCCGCCTCGGCTTCGCGGCGTCCGCTCCGGTGCCTCCCGCTCTGCCGAGCCGGCTCGCCTGGGCCGCGGGGCGGGGCCGCGCCGGGCCGGCCCTCCCTCCTGGCGGCTCCGCCGGCCTCCGGCCCGCTTTGTGCGGAGCCACGAGGTCCGGGGCGCGGGCGGGCCGACGCCGCTTCCGTCCCGCGGCCGCTGCGCACTCACCCGTCGCCCACCACCACACACTTGATCGCCTGCATCTGCCCGCGATGGCGGCGCCGCCGCGACTCCGCCGCAGTGACAGCCCGCGCGGGCGGGGCGGGGCGAGCCGAGCGCCACCGACCAGAGACGGGCCGAGAAGAGCCGAACGGAGCCGAGCGCCGCCGAGCAGAGACGGGCCGAGAAGAGCCGAACGGAGCCGAGCGCCGCCGAGCAGAGACGAGCCGAGATGAGCCGAGCAGAGCCGAGCGCCACCGAGCAGATCCGAGCGCCACCGAGCAGAGCCGAGCGCCGCGACGGTGACGGGGCGGAGGGAGGTTCTCGCAGGTGATGCCGGGGCTGAGCGCCCGCCGCCGCCTCGTGCCGTGAAAGCGGAAGGCGGAGCGCGGTACGGCCCACACCGCACGTTGTGCAGCCGCAGCGCTGAGGAATAAATGCCGAGCTGCCGGAGACACGGAGCGGCCCCAGGGGGCGGGGACCTTGAAGTCATCGGGTTCCAACCCCAACGCTGGGGGATGTTTGATCGGGCACGTCAGCCTGGCACAGAACGACTCCATAGGAACCCCTCCAGGGATGGGGCACCCCCAGCTCTGTTCAGACCCGCAGTTGAACCCCCTGTGGCCCCTTCCAGCCATCCACGTACCCCGGTAGGAACAGACAGAGCAGTCTCTGTAGCCGCAGTGCATTCGCTCCCAGCACAGACCCCCTCCTGGCACCCAATGCACAGTCCCAGCTCACACCCAGCTTCAGCTCTTCTGGCCCAGATGTTGCCATGCATTGCAGAGCTTTCAGCTCCAGAGGAGACTGACGGGATGTCCCTGAGAGCAGCACAGCAGCAATGCCCTCTGCTCCAGCCATCAGTGTTATGGAAAATGTAAAAGCTCTTTATTAAAACAGCACAGCAAAACGATTTACAAATAAAAATATAAAAGTCGAGAACGCAAACCAACCAGTCCACGCAAAGTTTTGTTGTCCAGCTGGCTCTTGAAACATTCATTTTTCCCACACAGACTCAATGGAAAAAGCAGCAGGAAGATCTCATCCTGGAGTCCTGTGCCTTTCTCTGTGCCACCTGATGGACCTTTGCTGCCAAGGAAAGGAAGCTCCTCCTCCCCAGCCCATCAGAACCACAGCTCACCTCCAGGGTAAGGCCCCAACAACAGCTTGGTTCCGGGATCCTGAGAAGCTCGGACGACAGCTTTGCCAAAAGTCATAATGGAATTAAAACTTCTTGCATTTTTGCCACAAGAACTCTTAACAAAGGGCTGAATTCAAGTAAGGAGGAAAACAGACTCCTCTCTCAGTTGGTGTTGTAGAGGTGTGAACCATGGCCCAATCCCAGCTGTCCAACGAGGATATGGATCAACACTGCACAGCAGTCCCTCTCCATACAGCTGTTCCTGTGTGTTAGAAATGTTCCTGTAGTGCCCATCACTACAGCCAGGGTCACAGAGGGACAAGGCAAAAAGCCAAAGTCAGCTGTCAGCCACTGCTTGCATCCATAACCACTGGGCACACAAAGATTTGTCCTTTCCAGCAGCTCCTGGACCCCGTGGTTCAGGGTAAAGTAAATGGCTCCCACATCCAGGGACCCGTAAACACTGCTACCCATCATTTACAAGGCTGCGTTGTGATCAGCCCTGGCATTCAAACTAGAACTTCAGAACAACTGCTTTTCAGAGAACATAAAATCACACCGGTATTAACAAAGGATGCTGGCAGAATGGCACTGTAAAGAGCACAGAAACAGCTTCAAATGCTGTATCAGCGCAGGTTAAGGACTCTACATCACAAATTCAGACCCATAAGCTTCTATCTGAGCTGAGTATGGCTCCTTCCTCCTCTCTTTTATGCTGCTGGGAACAAGATTTCTGAAGAACAAGAGGAGTTTTCTCCTTGCAAGCCTTCAGGTCTCCCCAACTCTGACAAAAGATTCTCATTTACAAAAAAGGGGCTGTACCTGAGTAGCTTATCCTCATCCTGGTACCTGGATTCTTTAAGACACTCTCATTTCCTCAAACTGTGGGTTCCCAAGGAGGATCCCTGCACATATGCCATGATGGCATTCTGCAATATACTTGCTCGCTGGGCTTCTTCTTCTTTCATCCTGGAGATGTCAGCCTCTTTCATTCTCAGCTTCTCCATCAACATAGAGATTTCACCTTCTTTGTCCAGCAGTGCCTCTCGGTGATTACTTGACAAGACTGTGAAAATAAAGCAGCATTGGTACAGAAAATTCAGGTGCCCTTAGAACAAACAGGAACAAGTTGCTGTAGGCACAGCTAAGGGCAGCACAAACAGGGTGAGCAACAAGCACGAGACAAGCTGCAAGAAACCTTCAGCTGCACGAGGCATTGGGAAAGGTTTTGCAGACACGATGTTACACATCGCTGTGCAGGAAGTCCCAACATTTTGCTTGCTGTGCAGCTTTGGACAGTATATTACTAAGTCATGGTCTCAATAAAATGAGGATAAGAATCACTGCAAAAACAGCAGGATGGAGGGTAGATTTGTATTCAAAGGTAGGAAGCACCTGTGTCACCTGTAAGCATAGCTCTGTTTAAGGCCCAGTGTAGGCTACCACACATTAGTGTTTGAAAAGCATGGAAGGATCCACCACCTTTCAGCTGTCTCTCCAGGGCTGCAATCTTCTCTCTCAGCCCTTCCTGTGCTGTACGTTCAGCCTGTAGGTGTCCAATCTGCTCCTGCAATTCCACTTTCACTTTATTTACTTCTGTCACTTTTTCCTGTTCCTTACTGTTCAGATCCTGACACACAAACAAAAATCCACAATTAACCAAACAACTTTTGTAATTTATTCTGCCCCCAACAGTGACTCTCTCTGCTCCAGATGAAATTACCTGCTGAAGTTCCTCTATTCTCCTTCTGAGTCCATCAGCATGCAGGCTCAATTGATTGGCCTTGACTTGGGCCTCACCAACCATTTGTTTTTGTTTGAGGCAGCAGTTCTGGGCTTCATCACGTGCTTCAGTCATCAGCCGCAGCTTCTCTTCAAGGTGTTCCACTCGTTGCTGCTGTAAGATACAAAGAAAAAAAAAAGCAAAACCATCAGTTCTGTTCCATTCCTGTGAAGGATTATTCCCATTTTTGTTCCCAACACCGTGAAGCCTTGGTTCAGCCAGTTGGTACTGAAGAACAAGCAAGCACAGGATGTACCTGTAATAGATAAAGCACAACTCCCTTGCAATCAGGAGACAATCTAAGCTGCTTTCTGCTACCAGTGCCACCTCTGGTGTTCACATCTAATGATCCTTCTTCACCTCCTCTTTATCCATTATCTTTATAATGGCTCTGAACCACAGCTGTACATGGTTAACCTACTGCTGTTCTAACACAATCAACAGCTTTTCTGTGTTTTAACTTTGTAAAGCATCTTCTTCTGTGTTGTTGTGTATAAGCAACAATTTTAACTGTTTTTGCTGTATTTTCCTCATGGCTATTTTACAAAATTCAACTCTGCAGAGCCTTTTCATCCAGCAGCAGCAGCCGCCATCTGGGGAAATGCTTCTGAGTCCAGAGTTACAGAACAGCACAGGAAAGTTGCTGATAAACAGCACCTACACCTGGCTGCTTGCTCCACAACTTGCTAACTTAGATTCCTAAGTTCTGCTCTGACAATATCCACATCAGTTCTGATACTACTGGAAAGCACAGAACAGATCAAGACACTCTGGACACAATTCAGACTTCTCAGAACTCCTTCCTTAGAAATCAAACTATTCATTGGACAATGAAGCCCAGAGATGGGAATTATTCATCATCTCCCTACAGCAAAAACAAGCCGGGCAGCCAAATTTACTCCTTCCCAGAGTCAGGGCTCAAAGGCAATCCTTACCTCATCCAACCGTGCCTGATTCCGAACCTTTATTAACTCTTCTTCTGCGTGGCCTCGCTCAGTGAGTGCAGCTGCTTTGACTTGGCTCAGCTCCTGCCACAGAAACAGGAAAGATCCAGATAGGGAAGCTCCATCATTGAAACACCAACAAGAAAACATCAGCAGCTTCCTAGTCACAGGCTACAAAGCGACACAACTGCTCCTGTCATTCAGAGACAGGGTGACCAAGACCAAATTAAACACCTTTTCTCATCCTGAGATTGCCACATAAATTCAGTGAAAATGAGAGGAGAGAGCAGCAGTGGGTCTAGCTGGGGAACAGATCAGGAGAAACATGCTACATGGCCTGGGACTCCCTGCAGGAAATCTGTAGAGTCAAATCCTGGTAAGAATCTAACCATGTTCAGAGGTAACTATTTTTGTTCAAGCACAATCTGCAAGTTTCTCCATGGAACTTTCTCATTCTTTAGTCACAAGCAGTTAAAATAATTTTTGTTGGTAAACTGAATGCCCCAGCTGCTCTCTTTTGTTCCTTCCCATCACACCTGACAGAGTTTACACAGGTCAGCACTAGAAGATTTCACAGAGCACCTGTGGCATGCTCCTCCTTTCCCACCTGAATGCACCCAGAGCACCCACTCTCACCTCCTCCAGGGCTATCCTGATGGCCTCCAGCCTCTGCACTCTGTCTTGCATAGAACGTTCACTGGCCTCCATGTGCTGTGTCAAGTGATCCACCTGCACAGCAGCAGGAAACATTTAAACAAGTGCCAGAAAATCACTCATATCTCCAAGCATAACAGCATGGCCACTGAGCACGAAAAAGAGCATCCCTTCCATGCAAAGTTTAATGAGCTCTTATCTTCAAGTAGTACAGAAGATCAGAGAATCATTTTCTAGTTTTAGAATGGCTAACATCCTCCTATCCTGTGTATTTTCTTACAAGATTTCCAAATCTGTGGAGATATATTTTATTTTTAAGGGATTTGACACCTCCATAAACATTGCAAACAGAGCCAATCACAGCCTCTTGTTCTCTCCATCCTTCTGAAACATAACAGAGAAGACAGAAGCAGGCTGAGTTGCCTTAGAGGACTGTTTGCACAGAGCACGTATATCTTAATTCATTCTAATAATGTATCTTGATTTCACTGAGCAGGACAAGATTACTTATTCATAATTAACACTGTGCCTAACAAGACTGACACAAGGACCAGCCTCCATGCCTCTCT